ATCTTCTTCTTCTTCGGTGATAAACAGGATCTGGAACGAGGATGATGAGCTCACTATCTTAAAGGTCTTTCTTCTCCTTCCTTTTTTCATCTACTACTCTTTGATTGCATGCATTGTTTTTTCTTTTTCTTAACTACATTCTATTCTGTGGAAAAAAAAAGGGATTAGTCGAGTACCGAGCTAAGAAAGGATTGGAGGCCAACACCGATTGGGATGCGTTTTTTGATATCATCAAAGGCTCCATACGTGTAAAAGTGTCCAAGGAGCAGCTGTTGAGTAAGATCAGGAAGCTGAAAAGGAAATTCCTTGATAACATGCAGACAATCAACCAAGGGAAAGATCCGCTCTTTACTAGGTATACTGACTCTGAAGCCTTTGGTGTTTCCATGATGATTTGGGGCAACAATGAAGCTGAATGTGCTGATGGGGGCATGAAGAATACACAACAGAGCGAGAGTGGCGTAAGTGACTGATTTTATCATTTGTTCTGTGATGTTTTAGTTACATCTTTCTCTGTCCCTAAGCATGATGATGATGATAAACACAACGGGTCATATCTGTTTCGATCAGCTTGCTTGATGAATTGCAGCCAGAGTTTTACATTTTTGTGTCTAATAGTTAGACTGATTTGGATATTGGTCAATGATATGTTTTTTTTTGAAGCAGAAGGAGATGTTAAAGGAGGGCGAAGAGGAAAATGCTAATGCTGAACACTTAGATGAAAATGGGGCAGGGATAAGCAACTTTGATGGCAATTCACTTGATGAGCTCGGTGTTGCCAAAATAACGGAGAACAAGACTGCTGGGGAAGAGTCTCATGACAATGGAGAAGCGAAAACCGATGCTGATGGCAAATCACTTCAGGAACTTGTTGACAAAATAACGGAGAACAGGTCTTTTGGAAAGGAGAGTCATGACAATGAGGCAGGGAAAAGCAATGCTGATGGCAACTCACTTCAGGAACTCGTTGTTGACAGTAGAACACCAAACAAGACTGCTGGGAAAGAGAGTCATGACAGTGAGGCAGGGAAAAGCAACGCTGATGGCAACTCACGTCAGGTACTCGTTGTTGACAAAAGAAGAGAGAACAAGACTGCTGGGAAAGAGAATCATGACAATGAGGCAGGGAACAGCAACGCCAATGGCAACTCACTTCAGGTACTCGTTGTTGACAAAAGAAGAGAGAACAAGACTACTGGGAAAGAGAGTCATGACAATGAGGCAGGGACCAGCAACGCCAATGGCAACTCACTTCAGGTACTCGTTGTTGACAGAAGAGCAGAGAACACGGCTGCTGGGAGAGAGAGTCATGACGATGAGTTATGCGCTGTACGCGACGCATTTGAGACCATGGTGTCGCAAGGTTTAAGTGATTATCAAAAGAAACTGCATCTTGAGAAGCTAATGAACATTGACAGTGAAAATAGAAAAGAACTGAGCAATGAGTGGAAAGCGTTATGTGCTGAGGAAAGAAAATTGATGATCAAGAAACTTAGGTTTTCTGCAAAGCTTGCAGGGGCAGCAAATGATGGATGAAAAATGAAGAAGCCATTGCAGCATTTTGGTGTCGGTTATGTAGTCCTCTAGAAGTTAAGCTTAGAATGATATGATGGTTCTTAGTACTTGATAAGTTTTTGGCTGCTGAGTAAATCCCTAGTACCTATGGATGTTGGTTGTTGTCTCAGCTTACTACAACTTTTGCCTTTTTGTGAATTACTTGTTAGTTTTTGGATGCTTATTATGTACCTATGGATGTGGTTTTTGTCTCGGCTTACTACAACTTTAGCTGATCTAGTGGAGAGTGTTAGTGGTATTTCGAACTTTGATATTTCCATGTGTATGATATTAATTTCGTAGCAGGTTAGTTTCCCATTTCTTGACACAAGAACTTTTCTATACTTTTTTAGTTTTAGTCAAAGAGGAATTGATAATAGACGAAGAAAAACGCAAGCTTTAGCGAACCGATTAAACCGGATTCAGACATCCCAGAAGAAGGCCACTTAAACCCGATTTTACTTAACCGAACCAAACAAATAAGTTGTCTCTCCCGAAGTGTATCTTCCGTTTCATCAACCCTAGCAAAAACCCTAAATTCGTGTGTAGAGAGAGAAGAAGATAGATCATGAGAGTGAAGAGGCAGAAGAAAAACAGGAGAACCGTGAGATTCTTCACGGTCTGTTTCGGATTCCGACAGCCTTACAAAGTCCTATGCGACGGTACTTTCGTCCACCATCTTGTTACTAATGAGATCACTCCCGCCGACACTGCTATCTCCGACCTCCTCGGAGGTCCCGTCAAGCTCTTCACCACCAGGTTCCA